CCAGAAAATAACCTCTGGGTGTTTTGAGCGATCAATTTATTCTTTTTCTTTCTTTATGTTTTTTTAATTTCCAAAGGGGGGGGGGGGCTGGGGCCAGCCCGGCCCCCCATTAAATCTTCCCCTGGATGATGTAAATGTAGTATTATATGACAAAAATTTGATCATATCTGATAATTTAATCCTATCAAATACAGTATGTTATGAGATGGGCAATACTCTGTTCAGTCTAAAATGTTTTTTTTCAGAGGCTCCACGATCACAAAGCTGCGCTGCTGTGTGTGTTTGTCCTCACTATAAGTATAACATTGATTATGTGACAAATACTGTAAATGTGATATGCTCATATTTTGGTGTAATATGACATTATGCCAATATATGGGCACATCACACAAATTTGTCACATATAAAATTTGATAATGTGTACATAGCTTTAGGAGGAGCCTCTGAAATTATTGAATAAAAAAAAAACAGAATCTAAAATATATTATGGTGGAAATCTGGATTAATTAATTTATTTTGTATTGTTTATAATGTACACTTACACTGTACCTTATGAATTTTCAAAAGGTATTGAAACTAAAATTTTATTTGTTTTTCTAAAGTTTTAAGTTAAAGAATATTTCAATGATCATTTATTCTGAAGGCAAACACATACTTGTAATGCATTTGTAAACTTACAAAGCAAAAAGACAAGAAAAAGAAAATAAAATTAGTAGAAAAGTACAGGAAAGTAGCTATAATTTACTACTACTCAGCTGAATAAACTTAGTACCATACGGCTACTGAGTGGGGCATCGTAAATTCAAATTAGTGCAGTGGTGCTTATAATGGAGCTTTCTGCGGTGTAGTTGAACTTAACTACCGCAATCAGAATGTATTATTGGTACATAGGGTAAGGAATACCATGGAGGAATAAGTTGGGAATACTGTAAGATACTGTACTCCACACACAATTTTAATATTATGCATGCTTATGCTGTTGTTTTGTGGGACCTAATAGCAAACTTTCCAAGGAACAAGGCTTAGTGTAATGAGCTGTGCTTATTCAAGAGGTGTTTGATCGAGAGTGTCCCTTATTATTAAAGTACACAAACTTTTCCATATGTTACCTAATTTTTTCGTGTTAAAATTTATGCTGTGTGTTGTATACAGTTGGTATTTAATTTTGAAAGTTTGTGAGGAAATTGTTGTTTTAATATTGTCCTGATGAAAATAAATATCAATGCACATTGGGTAAATGCACACTTGTTTAAGTGCTAAGATGAAGCTACATACTTGCTTTTTAGCAACTGTATTCAAAATAGGTTTCTCATTTAAGAGTGCCGCAATGCTTATGTTTTAGGGGCCTTTTGATCCTTTACAGTACTGTATCATTGCACCAACTGCCATACAGTATACAGAATTTCTTTTAAATTTTTTTCCTATTTAATATTGACACGCATACCAGTGAAAGTAGAACACCTCTTTGTTATCAGATGTACAGTACGGTAGGCTAATATTTAACATTCCCATGTATTGAATCCATTTTTTTTCAACTGAGGTGAGGTACTGTACAGTAGACGATAGAAACTAGGTTGGTCTACACAAGAATTTCATGCAGTGGTAGTATAGTAAGCTAAGCTCTACCTAGGTTTGCTGACTTAGCATAAGGTCATAAGTCAGACCCAACTTGCTTTGTTAGGCTTGTGATTGATAGCCTGGTAATGGCTTGAATTTACAGGATTTTCCTGTCAGGCCACAATCACTCTGTGCTCCTTTTTTTGTTTGTTTTGTTTTGTTTTTATAGAAGTTCCTGGGAGGTTAGTCAAGAATCTGCTCCTTTACATTCTTGTTCACGGACCAATAAGCATGAAGGCTTAAATCTGAAAACATTTTATTTTTCTACAATATAGTAGTAATTCAATCTGTGTAAGCTGTCAAAACCTGTCAGCCATAGCTTTTTGAATTATAATTCTCTTGGTAATTTTTTCTCAGAGTGTTTGTCAATAAAATTATTGCTAACATTTGTAATCAGCATTTCATATGATATTAAGAAGACTGCCATTTCAATCATACAGCACTTTTAAAACATTGAGTTGTTTTTTTAAAACCATTTTCTCCATGGAACAAACGTATACTGTAGACGGTTTTTTTTTTGTTCTGGTTACGGTAGGCCTACCTACCGTACTGTTACAGCAGTGGCTGAGCTAGGATTTCCCAGACGGCAGGGCAGCGTCCTCGGCAGGCAGAGCAAGTGTTGTACTTTAGCGCTACCAACCATCAAGGGGCGACAGCCCGAGCTGGGTGTGGGGGGGAAGGAGTTGGGATGGGGCACCTCCCCCTTTCCCCCCCCCATGAGATTAAAAAAAAAAACAGGCCTATGCCTAATAATCTGCTAGATGCTCATGCAGGGCATCTTTACAGTACCTAGGGATGGTGTTATTTGTATCTTATTTATAGGCCTACAGGTATCCAATTCAGGCCAACATTTGATATAAACGTTTTACTTTAAAATATATATTTTTTTTAACCGCCGACGAGTCTCTCCCACTTCCCTGATGTTGAGGGGAGTGGGGCATAGTCACTCTCGAAACAAACACTTTCTACAAGAATAAGTGCTGCACTAAAGCCTTGAAAAATTATATTGCAGTATACTGTACATGCAGTGCTTACTAACTACATCATTTCATCCCATCAAAACAAGTTCATATACTGTAATAATATATTTGCTTGGGAATAAATACCATTGTAGGTGAAGATCAAAGAGAAAAATCTTTCATAAGGGATACACATTATGGATTTGTTTAATAGCGTGTATTTGAAGAAATGCATGAATAATTAACATCAATTGATTTTATCAGCTTCTATAATTATTTGAAATCACAATCAATATTCCCAATGTGTTGATAATTTAATTTTTCTAATCATCTTTTGCCAGCTTGTACAGATGCAACTGATACATATTTCTAAAGTTGCAATCAATTTTATTTTTGCTATTTATCTTATTTATATTTTTTAAAATTATGTTATTATGATTAGAATATTTATTAGAGAGTCATATATACTGTATCCGTCATGACAACAGTAGGACTTGACTTCTGGGCCTGGTTTCTCTGATGTTACAGTATAATCTATTATGCATTATGTTAATTGACAAGAAGAATATTTTCAAATTAATTTTTGATTAAAAAAAAGCTAATAAATTACACTTATTGAATACAAATTAATCAATTCATAAATATGATTTTAATTTAACTCAGTACAATATAGATGATGTTGATGATGATCTGCATAGTTTGATTGAATAAACATTCTACAGTATGTCTTGAAATAAATAGTGACATCCCACTTGTTGTTGATAAAGGACTCAACTTAGAACAATTAACAATTTATTTGAAGATCATCAAAAATATTTTGGGGACCTTGAATGGATACTGTACACGTGACCTTGCTACTGAATAATATTTGGTGCTTTTTTTTATACCTTGTTTAGTGAACCCGACGACTGCAAATATTGATGATTTCAAATAAAAATATAATTTTATTTTTGGCCAATTAGCACACCCGCCGCCACGAAAAGTGGAAATTTCATAAAAAAATAAAACTTTTTTCTTTTAAGCCCTCCGCTGCCTTGAAATCTCCAGAAGATAAGACATGTATATTTCTGCCTAATTATATGAATTTGAAACATTCAACCATCCTATTTTACATTCACCAATAAAATTTTATTTTTATTTTCTCCTCCGTCTATACGATTTTGGCAAAACTATTTGCTAAATAAAAAAACAAAATTTTATTTTAATTTTTATTCCGCCCTTCTCCGATAATCTTTAAAAAAATAAGTACGCGAAATAAGGAATAAAAAAAGTCATTGATTCCTACTGTAACTTTGAAATTGGTTGAACATCCAAAAAATGTAATGCATCATTTAAATAGAAAAATTAAAGTTTAATACTGTAACTGTTACATTAATAGTAATTGAACTTGTATTAAGAACAATACGACATTGAAAATATGTAAATTACAAGGTAAAACGATTGATAATCAGATTGAATTTCTAAATCTCACACTTTGCCCATTGCTGACACATCAACCAATTGCTAGGCAGTGAATTAGATTTCCTGGTTGTTGTTTTGGTGTTAGGATCAATGCGGACAGATTACAGTAATTGCCTCTTGTTAATATTGTAACTCATATTTTACAAGACACCTGCTTTATAATTTTCTTAAGTACAGTACTGTACTTCACTGAAATTGAGGAGGAATTTTGAATTCAAGTGAAAGTACGCTAGTATTATTGTCAATGTCGATACTTAACTGAATTCCATTTTTCAACACATTCTTTAATTTTCTTATCTGTTTTGATGGGTGGGTGAAGAGTTTAAGTAGAGAGCTTGATGATTAAATGGGGGAGGGGGCGCAAGCTGACAAAGTAAGGTGATTTTTATTAACTACTTAGAGAGCTTGATGATTAAATGGGGGGAGGGGACGCTAGCTGGCAAAGTAAGGTGATTTTTATTAACTACTTGAGCATAATTTCCTGTAGGCATTTTAAAATCTAATATTTTACCATCAAAATGTACTAAAAACACAAAAGCTCGCATTATATTAGTTATCGAACACATGTAATTATTATCAAAATTTACAAAGAAAAAGTAAGATACAACATTTTAATAACTACGTTAGAAATTGGTATCAATGGTTTGTCAGTGGATAAAATGGCGTCGGGTTGAATACATTTTGCAACAATAGCAACTGAGTAGTATCATGTGGTATCGTGACGTAACACTGTAGTACAATATAGACAAGCCTATGAGCCACACAGAGAGAGCAACACTGACTCAACTTTGACATACTATAACTACATTCCTAAGTCTGACGACATTTTCTTTGCTTCCTTCTTTTAGAATTTGATGTGTAAAGTGCATTGGGATAGCCATTGTAAAATATGCAGTAAAAAAACAAATTATTAAATGAGTTGTTTAGTAATAATGTACAGTAGGATATTGATGATAGGTGTTCTTATATAAATAGTATGTCATTAGCTCACATGGGTTTGGTTCTTTGCAAGCTTTACATGGCGGGGTGGGGGGGATGTTTCAGACTTATTGTGGAGAGTCGCTCACATTGCTTCGTAACTGAAGAGAAAGGCGCTATACAAGTAAGAAGTAACAAGTAACAAATATTGTGTGTCGTTTTTTTTATTTCTTTGTAGTAAATGTTGTAGAGGCATTACAAGAATTCTGGCAAATGAAGGCGTCCCGCGGTGCTGAACTGAAAAATGGTGCTTTAGTTGTATATGAATCTGTGCCCGCATCTAGCCCTCCATACGTTTGCTTCGTCACACTTCCTGGAGGGAGCTGCTTTGCTAGTTTTCAGGTAAAACACAAAACCTGTATTGTGATTATTAATTGGAGTTTTGTAAATATTACAATAATATATATATATATATATATATATATATATATATATA